TGGGTTAATTACAACTTTTCCATGAGCTCACTTTCCTTGTGGGAATTATATTGTTCTTTTTTTTTTTTTTTTTTGAGACGGAGTCTCGCTCTGTCGCCCAGGCTGGAGTGCAGTGGTGCGATCTCCGCTCACTGCAAGCTCTGCCTCCCGGGTTCACGCCATTCTCCTGACTCAGCCTACCGAGTAGCTGGGACTACAGGCACCCACCACCACGCAGGGCTAGTTTTTTTGCATTTTTGGTAGAGACGGGGTTTCACCATGTTAGACAGGATGGTCTCGATTTCCTGACCTTGTGATCCACCCGCCTCGGCCTCCCATAGTGCTGGGATTATAGGCATGAGTCACTGTGCCCGGCCTCCCAAATATTTTCATACTTAGTTCTCCAGTTCTTTCGTCCTGTTCTCTCTTAAATTTATTCTATCAGGCTCTCACACCCATTTCTCCACCAAAACTACTCTCATCAATATCACTATTGACCAGGGCCAGCTTCGTGGGCATGCAATACTCTCTCCTTAGTTTACCTTACCCTCTGTAGTTGCACAGGGGCATTCCTTACAATGGCCCTGAGTTTTGTTGAATGTCCTCTCACCATCTTGATATTCTTAATCCTTGAACAAAGGGACTTCAAATTTTCATTTTGCTATGGGCCACACAAATTATATAGCTCTCTTTTCATATCAATGACCTTCATGTTGCTAAAGCCAATGGCCAATCCACTACATGTATTTGCTATGGTTTGGATATTTGTCCCCTTAAAACCTCATGTTGAAATTTGATCCCCAAACATTGGTGGTGGGCCTGATGGGAAATGCTTGAATTAGGGGGGTGGGTCCCTCATGAACAGATTAATGCTCTCCTTTGAGGGTGAGATCTTACTTCATTAATTCCTGCAAGAAGACGTTGTTAGAATGAGCCTGGCACCTGCCCCCTCTCTCTCTTGCTTTCTCTCTTGGCATGTTATCTCTGCACACATTGGGCTTCCCTTTGTCTTCTGCCATGAATGGAAGCAGGCTGAGTTCCTCACCAGAAGCTGAGCAGATGCCAGCACCATGCTTCTTGTACATCTTGTATAACTGTGAGCTAAATAAACCTCTTTGCTTTATAAATTACCCAGTCTCAGATATTCTTTTATGGAAACACAAAACAGACTAAGACAGCATCGTACTTATCAATAGCAGATTTTATAAGGTCAATTACTCCCTCCTTCTTGATATAGTTCTGTTTGCTTGGCTTCTAATATACTTTACTCCTTTTGCTATCTCAGAGACTCCCCTTTGGTTTTGTTGAGTCTCCTGGTTTCCCGGATTTACAAATTTGGACCCATTTTTCCTTCTATTCACTTTGCTGGATGATCTCAGCCAATCTCAGAGTTCTAAATGCCATCTATAAGCTAACGATTAACTCCCAACTCCCTCTTCAGCTCCAACAGTCTACTTGACCTTTCTATTTGGATCTTAAATGTAGCATGCCCAAAATGTAACTCCTTTTCTTTCCTACACCAAATCTGATCTACCAATACTCTTCCCCATTGTTTACGGCAGATATTCTTCCTGTTGCTCAGGCTAGAAATCTTGGAATAATTCTTGACCCTTCTGTTTCTTTCACACCCCGTATCCAGGCAATCTAGTTTGTTCTACCTTCAAAATGTTATCTGAAATTTAAATTACTTTCTGTACTTCTCATCTCTTACAGAGATTACTGAATTAGCCTCCTCCCTGGTCTCCTGGCTTCTATCCTTGTCTCCTCACATCTCATGATTTACTTTAAGCATAGTAGGGAATGGTCCCATTAAAACATAAATCACGTAACACTCCTGTGCTCAAACACTAAATTACTTCCCTACTTCGGACAGAATAAAAGCTATAGTCTTTAAAGTGGCCTACAGTGTTCTAAATGGTCTGACTTCTTCCCACCTTATCTCTGTGTGCATTTTAAAATACTTTTTCTTTCCTTTACCTGGCCATGCTGTATTGGTCTTCTTGGTATTCTTCCAATTTACTAGGTATACTCTTTCACCTTAGGGCCTGTTCTCTTTGTTCCCTCTTTTAAGTCTTGGCTCAAATGAAACTTGTTTAGCCTATTGAATATGGTTCCATCCACCCCACCTTGCCTTCATGCTACTTTGTTTTTTCACCAGGACACTTATCACTCTCTAACATGTAATGTTATTAATATATTTGCTTATTTTGTACATATGTTTATTGTCTGACTTTTTTCCATATAGCCAGGGGTTTAGGTCTGTTTTCTTTCATTGATCTATCCCAAATGTCTGGACTAGAGCCCAAAACATAGTAAATACTCAATTAAAATCTGCTAACCAAATGGATATTGTTTAATGAAGCCTGGATTTATACTATATAGTATTACCAATGAATAACAAAATAACAGCAATGCTGATTTCACTAGAGGGAAAAATCATCAAGGTAATTGTAAAAATATATAGAAAATATACCATCACGATAACAATTCATGCTTTGCAAAATCACTGCCATATATATATATATATATATATATATATATATATATATCCTTTTAAGGATACATCAATTACATTGAGTAGTACCTGCTCTATAGAAAGAAAATATCTAAGGAAATTTAAGCTCTGAAGAAAATAGTCAGTTCTATATTATATTAACTTTAAAAACTAGTGTGTAATCATGGTGATGGCAGGCTTTGCTTTCACATCAGAGGTGGTACATGTTCTGAGAAAAAGTCTGTGATGTATTCATGGGTTTCAGTTCATAAATATCCCTGGGAAACTGCTTACAGTTTAGTGCTTGTGTAGTTTTAACTTGGAAATTAACTTTCTATTTATGGAAATAACTTAAGCAATTTCTATTATATTTGTTAATGTTTACTGCTTGTTTTTATTAAGCAGTAAGTTGGGAGAAGAACCAGCTGTTGCTTCATGTAAGTATTTTATATAAATACTACATTTATGAAAGATGGTCTTAGGACTACTGACATCCTGAATATATTAGATAACAGTATTATAAAACTAGAAATAAGATTTCATTATAAAATTTCTTCTTTTGTATATAAATTGTTTTTTAATTCATTAATATGATCAACTCTGACATGAAAAACTCCTTCCTTCTATCTATTGTTCTATTTAGTTTTCTACCCCTGGTGTTTTCACTCTAAAATATGACTTGTAGAGGACTGTAAGGGCATCTTGGGCATTACCAAATATTAACTCCAGCTACTTTTAATAGTTTTTGACATTTCTTTGTTCATGAAAGGGTAAATTTGTTCATATCAGTATGTTTTAAAAACAGCACAACTGTACTTGGGGTTACAAAGATGAAAAACAGAAGTACAAAGTAATTTGCAGTATGAATATGCTGAAAAAACAGGGTTTATTTCTTTTCTGTGCCAATGTTCTTAGTCTTGAGCAAATCTTGCTCCGAAGGAATCAGACAAGTGCTACAGCTGTGATTCTGTTGGGCTTCCTGGTAGAGCTGGAGATAGACTGCAACCCAAGACAAAACCCAGAGGAAAAGCAACCAATCTCAGCCCTTTGCCTAATTTCCACCTTGCCAGTTATCAGAGTTCACTATTGTTCAAGCTCCAGGAGTCATACCATAGCAATCTACTGGTGGAATTTATTTTGAACAAGTGTTTTGTTTGGCTTGCAGTATTTTTTTTAAAAAAGTAAGTAACATTTAAAACATAGGAGATTTCATATAAAATTCCCTTTGTCTAGTTTTTATTAAAAACTGAAAATCTGGCAAATGCAAGTTAAGCACTCTCCCTTGGCAATATGCTTAGAGCTGAAGAAAGACTACCTTTATACATGTGGAATGAGCTCTCCAGTTCCCAAAGTCTCTACCCAGCTGGCTGCCTCCATGGAGGCCACTTGCCTACTCCTTTGTGTCCTTGTATGTTCCTTTTCTGGATCCTTGCTCTGTCCACACAGAGATGGGAGACCCAGAGGTGAGAGCACGGTGACAATGCTGACTCACTCACTTCTTTTCCCTCAAATACCGGTAAATAGCTGATGGCTATATATTCCTCCTCTAATGGGGTTCTGACAGTCCTGGGTGAGATCATGTGCATTCTTTATCTGAAGGGTGGTCCTTGACACAAGAATCAAGTTCTACATAAGGAAGTATATCACATTAAATGTTATTTTTACACTCTTATCTAGAGAACATTGCCTCCAGCTGCAAAACAAGGGCATTACCATTATGAAAGCCCATCAAAGACGCTCTGCTGTTTTCAAAACATGGAAAGAAAAAGGGAAAAAAGAAAAAACATAATAATTAGAAAGATTTGTTCCTTAATTTGGGCTCCCAAAAATGAGAAATGATTATATAATGAGGGGAGATACTAATTATTTTGAACTCTCCAAGCAAATCTTCTGAAGCAATCTATATACTTTATGTTCTTTTTCTAGTTTTCCTTCTGGTTAAAAACACACAGGTGAGTCTTCCCAACGTCCTTTCCTATCTGGATCTCTTCTGCCTCATTTCTCTTTCAAAGTCATCTTTCAGGGAACTTGCTCTGATTAATTTGATTTTAACCAAACAAACAAGATATTTGATATATTAATTTAAACTTTTTGAGATGATTGATTAGAATCTTTGCATCATATCCACGACTATACTGTATTCAAAGTTAAAACTTCATAAGCAGGAGTTTTTACATCTCGTAACATAATCATTACCCAATACTCAACACTCAATATTTGATACTCAGTGAATGTTTTTGAAATAAACACAATTTTTATTGTTAATCTTTCTGAAGAAACTAGTATATATCTTTTTACACAAAATCTATCAATAAGAGATTGATTGGTTAAAGAAAAAAAGCAAAGCAAAATGAAACAAGTTGAGAGAATCCAGGCTTTATCAATATAAGTAATAGTTCTTTAGAATGGTGATTTGATTTCACCATTTCAATTCAGCAGAGCCTGTATATATATATATGTTACAATGATCTGTATTTCCTATTGCTAGATGGATGAAAGTGAATCCATATAAACCATACCAACGCCGTTATGTGTAACTGGTGGTAAAACTTTATTATTCAAGTTTAGATGTAACAGACATCTTTGCTGCCTGAAGATTGTTTGCATAAGAAATACACCAAGAACATGTTTGTGAGTAGAAATGAACATGCACTATGAAAACAAAACAAAATAAAACGAAAAAATTTCATGTGTTGTAAGAACAGAACTATTATAGCCAACATTCTAATATTCAAATCAGGACTACAAATTGAATTCTTTTTCTTAGCAACATGAAATCATTTCATATGAAAGACATTTTCTGCTGGTGAATATTGCTGTAAGTTAATTTTACATTGGCATTTTGAGATGTTCCCCCCACATGCCTCCCCCGAAATTTTCCACGTGGTTGTCAAATAGTCCACCCTAAGGAATTTGGCATTTATTTGTGATATTTGCCTTATTGGTAGCCATTAAGAAACTATGGTTTTATCAGCCTAGTAACAGTTTTGCGTCTTCATAGTCAACACTATTGGCTGCCTAGTTGATATTTACAGCTCATCTTTAAGAAAAATGACCCCAACCTTTCCTGGCCTTCGGGAACTGACAGTTTAAATAACCCCCTTGGCCACATAATAATACTTGGCACTTCTATGGTGCCTTTCAACCAAGGATCTCAAAGTGCTTTACAAACAAGTACTACATTACCATTATTACTATTAATAATATTATTAATATATTTTTCAATTTTACAGCTGAGGAACCTGAGGCACAAAAAGAAAAAGTGATATGCTGCAGTTCATATGTTGAAAAAAAAAAAACCACCACCACCAGGGGAAAACCAGAATTGAGTTTTGGGACTCTATGGTCTAGAAGGACCATTTTCTCTGATAAAAGCTAAACATTATTTCCATGGTAAAGTTATTCCTGCTTTTCTCTGGTGTAGGACAGAGTGAAGCTTACAGCTCTCCCTTTCCTTTCAAGAGAACACATGATCGTACATTATCTAGTTTCTCACATGTGGATTACTCTTGAATTTCACATTTTCTTCATCCCTGACTTGACATACTTCTGCCCTAGCATATTGCAGAAGTTCTAATTACTGCAATTAACTAGGATGCTTTCTAAGCAACTGCACCACAACATGTGAGTCCACTGTCTATGAAACAGTATTGAAAAACCAAAAGGAGTGCTCTGCAAAGAAGCCATCCCTCTGTTCTTGGCCAAGTCTTTCTTTGGGAAAATAACACTGCCTTCCAAAGTCCCGATGGGCGTCCTTCTATCTTCTTCTCATTTGCAGTTGCCTGCTGATAGAATTCCACCTAACAGTACCTACCTTTGGTTAGAATATTTAGTTTGATACTCAGGTTGCATTTCAATTCCTCAATTTTCTCTTGTGCCTTGAACAGTCAGCAAGCTTTCACCTTACTGGCTCACCAAAGATGCCTTGATTTTTTTTTTTTTCTTTTTTTTGCCATGGCTCTCAACCCAAAGACAGTAGCTAAAGTTGCGCTCCTCTCAACTTAAGGCAAAAGGCTGGCATACAGCACAGAAGCAGACCACCAGTTTCTTTACTCCACATTTCCACCACTGGATGGCAGATATTCCCCCTCTAGAAATGCATTAATTTTATTTACTAAACAGGCAGCAGTTCACAGGTCTCAAGACTGGTCACTTTGTGATGTTTTGCAGCCACACAGCGGGAGGCTAATAATTATTTTAATAGCCATACTGAGACTCTTCAGTTTATTAAGAAAAATGTAATCCTCAGGCATTTAAAAATATATATACATTTAATATTTTTGGAGCTGTATTTGCATTGGATCGTAATAGATTATGTGCACATGTGCAATTATAAACATAATGTGCTACCACAGGCTTCAACAAAGAGCTGTTAAAGAGACTTTTTTCCCTTCTCATTAATATTACCTTAGAAAAGAATCCCCATGCTTGTTTTCTAAAAATCTACCTTTACTAAAACAGAGCAGTTTAGAACAGAATATCACTATCTTAAAAATTGATTAAAAAAAAATCTCAGTATGTCATGTAGAGAGAATTGGGCATACTCTTTTCCTTTTGAACTACAGAGTTATCACGGAGAGCTCTGACCTTTTCTCATATACTTGGAGTTATGTAGTGTCTCTCTCAATCCACAGCATTCTGAGGTGGGTTGGCTCTTTATGACTTTTCTGTCCCAAACAACAGAATGAATACAGAGGTGAGTGATGAGAGAAAGAGTGAGAATAGGAAGAGTGAGAACGCATGAGCTGGTCCTGGTCTAAAATTTGATCCAAAGCTCAATTTAGAACATACACAAATTTTCAGTTTTCAAATGGCATACAATTTTAGCTGGCACATCGTTTTCATCACAGGGGAAGCCTTTTCCAAGAGAGAAAATTCCTAAATCGTCATGAAATTCCTCATTAAAAAAAGGTTCCGTACCATAATAGTTTGTTTAAAATCACAATTTAAGATAAAATAATTCAGAAATCTTAAATTAAAAAAATAAATTTTATAATATATCTTGAGATGGAATAAAGGCTTTAATGAGTCAAAAAAATAAGGAGTGTTTAGTGTTATAATAAATTTTTGTCTCTTTTAAAAAAGCCCAACTTCTTCTCCACCAAAATATGTATAATAATGAAAGCAAAAATGAAAATAAAATTATCAATAATAAAGAAGTATGGAATAAGATCTATCGTGTCAATGCTATCCAAAAATATTCTACTAAAAAGTAGACTGACCATAAATATTCCAAGAATAGTGATATGTATTTTCCAATGCTAGTCATTACTACTATGTCTGAGAAAAAAAAAAATTGAATGAAAATAAAAAGGCATACATGCCAAAAATAAAGAACCTATTTGTGTCCGACACACTAGAGAAATTGCTTAATGAGTAGTTTTGCCCAAAAAGTAATACTTGCCATATTGCCCAAGTTAACCAAACTTCTGGTGTTTTGCTGATTTAAGCAGTCCACATAGATAATGTTGCTGAAGGATTGCCATGATGCATTTTGTTATTCTTTTTACTAAGAAAATTAAATATTGTTGTTTGGGGAATCTCCTCTCTTTTTTAGATCTTTAATTGTCACCTCTCAAGTCTGGCTATATATTTTGAGATGTATCCATCAAAATTCCTATGGAAGATAAATTACATCACATAATTTGAATGTCAAAGCTCCTCATTCCACTTCTTTATTTCAGTTTATGTGAATATTAGAGCTACGCGACAGGTGAGATCAGAATAAGGCCCATTAACAATGAAACTGAAGCAGAGGACTTAGTCCTGATTTCTGTCTCTTGCTTTCTCTTTTCTCTTTTTTTAATATGCAAACAAAAAAATGCAAGAATGAAAATGACAACACAACATCAGAAAGACATTTTTTTTAACTTCATTCGCTACAACAGTCACGAACTGGTTGAACTCTACCTGCCATCCAACTTTAAGAAACGAAGACCCGGCACTGTGAAAAAGAAACAAAACCCAAACAAAACAAAACGATACAAAGCAACTGCGAATTAATGTAAAAATGGAGTGCAAATGCGACTACAGAATGCAATAAAAACATCAGCGTTGCAGATTCCAGCAACACTTATCAAAATAATTTCTGAAATGTTTCATATGAAACATAGACAAAGCAATAAAAAGAGGATATATGTTTATCATCTTAAGCATAACAATGTGAGTTAAGAGCTTAAAAATTTAAAAAAAAAAGTACTTGGAATGAATAGTGCTACCCTTTTTTTCCTAAGTAGGCATAAAAATATTTTCATTTCCTTCTTGTTTTCCATACCATTATAGCAAGAACTTTCATTTGTTTCATGTTACCGTTTACAACTTTAATGCACACACACACACACAAAAGGATATCTACTGCAATAGAAATAGTTGCTTCATTACCTTGTTTGCTACATTTGCAAATGTAAACAGCTAGGCAGAGCCAGAACTGACTCTAATGCATGATGGAATATCTTTGTTGCATACGTACACTGTAGAAAATAATTATTCAATATGTCAGGCACCATTATTTGAAATGTAATACATTAATATTTACTAGAAAAATAAGTTTTTTTTTTCCTATTTGTTCTCCCAACTTCTTTAATGAAATAAGTTAATCTGACAGTGCATCCAGTAGCTTGTAATATCTTCTACATCTCCGTGGCAAAAAATAAACTACTGGCTGGGACAATATAATGCAAATTATTAAAGTCAGTCCTTGTACATACATCCTTGTAGCAAGCATTGAGGCTCGACTAACAGCACCTTTAACCAATTATTTAATGTTCAGTTATTTAGCCCTATTTCCCTGAGCAGTTATGCTGAGGAGCTTTCCCTTCATGGATAGTTTTTACAAAGCCTTAAGTATTAAAAGTTCTATGAGGACATACTCCTAAGAATCCTATTTAATGCTACTTAACTAAATCTGTATACATTTAATGAAGGGATTGACTAGTACATATACCAACTGTCAGTCTGTGGTAACGTAACCTTAGACGCTGCCTGACCACAAAGTTTGGAAATTATATTTAACCAAAAGAAAATAAATAAATACAGCAGGTTACCTTATGGAGAAATGCCATGTGTTCTAAACAGATTAAACCCATGGTCTGACATTTGTATCCATCTATGCTTTTGAATTGAGGGGATTCCTTTAGTTATAATGTGCCAAGTGAGATTAGTAACCAACAGGAGGCTTAGAAAAGCAAATCCATACTGGCTCATCACACACAAGAAAGAAATACCTGGCTAAAATGAAATTACTACGGAAGCATCGAGGACATTGTTTTTTAAAATGGGTACATGTGTGGACAAAATTAAATCTAAACCGCAAACAAAAGGACTACTGAGTATTTGAACATCTAAAGGACAAAAATATCAGAGAGGGTGTGCATGTGTATGTACAGGCAGGGCTGGCTAAAAACAGCGTGCCACCATCTGTCATGTTTCTTGCTGCACTCTAACCAAGCCTAACCACAGCTCGCATTTCTAGGTCAAAATCTGAAACATGGCCAATGAGAGAAGACTAAATTGAGAGGACGTCATTTTTCTTTCATTGCCCTGGACCTTCAATTTCTCCTCCTCTGCCTAAGGTTTCATGATACTTACAAATTTAGGCAACAATTTGTGGGTTTTGGAACAAATGGTCCAATGGCCAGTCCAATACTGCTTTAGTATAGTAATATGGAAACCCTTTCAAATTCTAGACAGTTTTGGTCTCTTTCTTTATAAATACATTAATTCTAGTCTGGTGATACCTCTTATGGATTATTTCCCCAGTATGTATTAGCCAAGATGGTTTTGACTTAACAGGTTTTAAAAAGTGATTGTTTACCATCTTCCATTCTTTCTCATTGACCATTTATCTTACTTTTTAATCTTGGTAACCTACTCATCAAAAGAAAGAATAATAAAAGAAGGGAATTTCATGTTGGATAAGGCAGGCTCTATGAAGTATTTTTTTAATAGGTCTTCATAAGACATTACAAGCTATTGAATTCCCATCAAGAAAACCTATTTCTATTTAATTGTGCTAAGTGCTAAGGTTTTACTCTTTAGGTTTTCCATTTTTTTCCACTTGTGCATTGTTCCTATGCAGGCCCCTCTGGATATGTGTTGTGAAGTCATATTTGTCCGTGCAAAGATGCTGGCATATGCTGCACTGGAAAGGTCCACTGTCACCATGGCAACTCATATGCAAAGCATACATCACTTCATCCAGAAAGACAATGCCACAGTGCACACATTTTGTTGAAAGTTCATCTTGAGTACTTCTATCAACTTTCTCTGTTTTTACTACATTCAAGGGACCTTCATTTTTTACATTTGGTGGTGCCTTCGTTTTCTCCTTGGAGGCACCGTTTGCAGTTGGCCCAGGTCTGGAATGCTTGATCGCCAAATCTAGAGGAATGTCATTGTCTGATCCAACAGCTGAAAAATGAGGAGGCAGATTGAAGGTGGGATAAGGCACATAGTTTTGGCAAGGATTTGGTAGGCCAGGCACGTGACTCAAGTAGTGCGGATTCCCAGGAACGGAGAGCTTATATTTACTCCAGAACCGCAGCCAATCAGCTTCACTCTGGAAGTCATTATGTACAAAGGGAAGTCCAAAAAGTGGGTACTGGTACTTTTCAATAGGGCTGCCTGGTGGTGAATAATTTGGGTGTTTCGCAGGTCTCATGTACTTTTCTATAGGACTGCCTCTCTCAGAACTTCCTTTCCCTTCAGATACGGATGAACTATTTCCTGGATCTCCAGTACTTTCCTGAGGACTTTTTATCTGAATGTGCAAAGGTTGCATCCTTTTGTGAATATCCAGAGTTTGGCTGACCAGGACTGGCTGCTGAGCAGAATGGCTTTTAGTCAATGAACCCTGGGCTTCGTATTTACTTAGGCTGGGGAGCGGAATTTCTCTCTGGTGACTTTCAGTTAGATGATCTTCTGACCTCCTCTCTAACGGGCTTCCATTGACTTGCTCCTCACTGCTGCCCCTCTGCTGTTTGCTGAGCTGCTCAGCCTGAAGTGCCTCTGGGTTAAGGCGCTTTCTTGTTCTCCTCCTAATAATCTGCTCACCGTTGTTTTGTTTAATGATGTTTAAAGGCCTGGGAGTCTGCAGAGAACACATACAATACATAAAAGGAAAACATTAAAAAATACATTAAAATGCATTAAAAATTCCTCACAAATATAAACCATGCTTAAGTTCAAAGGCAGGGATAGGCTTTCTGCTGTAGATTTACTAAATCTCCTCCTTTTGCCCTAAGCAGGATCAGAGGAAGTAACCAAAGTGCACTATTTTACTCTAATTAAATCATGTCCATCTTTGCAGGGGGGACTGAAAACTTTAATCTACTTGAAAATAGCCTTTCCAAATGCAACAGATTTTGAGATTGCATCATTTAGTGATGAAACTGTGTAGAAAGTTACTTGAAGTGATGTGATTTTTCTGAAATATGTTTTTCAATTTTTGAGTTGTACACTAAAATGCCAGCATACAAGAGTAACACAGGCGATACATATTGATAACAGTGGAAAAATTACACATTGCTATAGACAGAATAAGTTTATATGTTGAAGCCCTAAACCACGGTGTGACTGTATCTGGAGACAGGGTCCTTAGTAGGAAATTAAAGTTAAATGAGGTTGTAAGGGTGGGGCCCTAATCCAAGGGGACTGTGGCCTTATGAGAAGAGGAAGAAAAAGAGGTCTCTCTCCACTGTGTAAGGGCACAGATAGAAGGTGGCTTAGTAAGGAAGACAGCCCTCCTCAGAATCCAACTTTGCTGGAACCCGATCTCCAATTTCTAGTTTTCAGAATGTGAAAACATAAATTTTGGCTGTTTAAAGCCACCCAGTTTATGGTATTTTGTTATGGCAACCTAAGCAACTAATACATGCGTGCTTCTAAATAATTGCAAATGTGGATATAAAATATTAATATCAGAGCATAAAGATAAACTGACAGAATTGTGCGGAAATATGTCAGGTCATCAAAGCAATATAGAGGGATTTTTTTTTTATTCTCACTTCTACTTCTCTCCCTTAAATAATATATTTATGATGAAAGATTCTACTTGTTAATAGGTGAAGCATTAGTTTTGTGTTGAAAATCTAAATTCATGTGTAGCTTTGGTTTAAATATCTGATCTGTCACTCCACTCTTAAAGTAAGTGCTAACTTTCATTCAGCTTAAGTATTTTGTTTAGCTTCAACATTACATGATTGGTATTTATGGACATGTTCAACAGGTATTTATATAATATGACTTAAATCCATGGATAAGACTATAATAAAAACTTTACTTGCAGTTGGAGCTCTTTGATGTATAAAATCAAAGGAATCAGTCTGATAAATTAATGCATATTTATAGGTTAAAAATTTAGGATAATCTTTAAATGAGCTAAAGTCTGATTTTTCTAAAAGATTACTGAAATCAGAAAATAATTTCTACATAAAACATGACTATAAATATAAATTTATAAATTTGTAACTTTATAAATTATACATTATATGTATATAATGTATAATTTTACAAATTATACATTTTTAAATATAAACACATATTCATAAATATGTTATAATAATATAAATATAATATAAATTTTAAAATAAATATAAATATAATTTATAAATTATTCCTAGAAGTGATACACTTGAATGCAAGGGAGTACCTCTTATATCTGGAACGAGTACAACTACAAATTCTTTTTTGAACATTTCTGTTGCTACAAACATACTTTGAAGTGAAGAAAGATAACACACTTGTTGTTATTGACAATTCATTGTTAAAGAAAGAAAATGTAACACAGCTTAGTTATGCCATGTGCATTTCTTTTGCTCAGATTTACAAAGGTTTACAAAGAGTTCATATTAGCATTATAAACATATGCATTATTTAATCTATACACTGTAAAGAAACCTGAAATTTGCATAAATTCCTTTTTTAAACAATCATAACTTTTGTGTCAGTTTTTGACATGAAATGTGAACATAACCTTTATGTATTTCAATGTATGGTTTTTAAAAAAACCTCAAAACTAAAAACATCTTACCTCTGGACAGATGAATGTTAAAATAATTTTTAGAAAATAGTTTAGTTCATATCACAGTGGTTAAATTACCATAATCTGGCAGAGTAGTATTTTAATTTACTTTTGGCCTATGATTGGCCAGAGTTCAATTAAAATCATTAATGTCAGTTCCCATTAAATAGAAGCTTATTGCTATGCTTAAATGATGAAGGTTAAAAGAAAAATAAGTTGGTATGTGGCGGGGGGCAGAATCTTTCTACTTGCTACATGCTAATAACTAAGGTTTTTACAGGTTACTGCCAATTAGTATTGTTAGCAGCATGCATTTTTTAAAGAGTGCTTCCAATAGTCCATATATGAGAACGTTTTGTCTAAAATTGTATTCCCTGTAGCCATAATGTATTCACTGGCTTGTGCTAAGAGCTATGGTGAAATGCCAAACAAAATGAAAAAGGCACAGGGAAATAAATTTCTGTTTACGAAGTGGGGGATTCCTATTTTAAAGTCAGCTCTTGTCAGCAGATGAACTTTCTAAACTAAAAAAAAAAATCCTTCAGTAAGTCAAATCCATATTCAGATGGAGGATTTGTGAGTTTTAATTTTATTACAGAATCCTCACTAAAATTTGAGGAAAAGTAATTCAAAGGACCTCCGTGAGCCAAAGCCTGCTGGAGATCTTAAAAGACAAAGTATGTTTGCACCTTACTCTACCCTGGTGTGTGTGCTATTCAGAACTTCAGATACCTTATTGAAATACCCACTGAAGGCACTGTGGAGATTCATGTGATATTCTCTGATCCTGGTTCAGTTCAGAACTATCCTTCCGAATGTGTCCCTCCAGCCCCTAAAGCGGTCAAGATAACACTTGCAAATTCCAAAGGTAAACTAAAAAATACTAATTCTTTCCCTGACTTTTATTTTATACTGAACAATGAAAGCGTCCTTTTTCATTTTTAAAAATGTTTTGCATATTTCTGAAACTTCTAAAAATTTTCTTTTTACCTAAAATAATTTTACTGAATTCTGATAACCATTAATTCAACTATCTGCTGTGAAGTTCCCAGAAATCAATCATTTTCCTCTTTTATATCAAAAGAAGCATAATGCATTACTAATGACCTCAAACCTGTCTCCCCATCACATCTAAGCCCCTTTCACCATAAATCACACATGCACTCCAAGTGACTGTATTAAACAACCCTGCGGGGGCAGGCACTGCAAGCCAGGGAATGGGACTTATCACACCACAGACCAGGCCAACACTGCTTTATAAAGCTTTTCCTGAAAGAGTGGAACAAGTTCTTACCGAGTGAAGCTTCTGGTAGAGGCCACACGCGTTGCATACATATCCGCCATTTGCATTCTTTCGCCAGAGAGAGGTCTTTGTGGTCAGGCAATTGGCACAAAAAACACCGGAGCCTCTACGCCTCTGAAACAGGGGAAAAAACCCAAGGTCAGAGGTGAGTCACATGATCAGTGGAGTTAGACCAAATCAACCCAGGAGTTTTGTCTTTAAACTAGCAACAATGACAGTATAAAACCACACTGCCCATAATGAGGTCAGGTTCAATTGTGTTTAATAGGCACCACTGATTTTCATTATAATTAACCCTACAGTGATGGATGAGGTGTGTGGAACACCAAAGGCTTTTCATAGAAACAGCTTTAACTTTTTGAACTTTGGGTTTTATGGCTTTAATGATGGCTCCTAAATGCGGAACCCTAAAATATACCTTTTAAAAGTGTCAAAACACAAGTCAAAACGACAGACATGGCAATATGTTTAATACACTTTGGAAAGGAGGAGCACATGCCACCTGAGCTTTAAAATATAGTCACGTTTGGAACAAATGTAAACCATTTAAAATCAAACTTGATTTCTGTGTTTTTGTATGTCATTCATGTAACGTAAGTATTAAGAGAATATAAGACACTCAATTCTGATCTTTCGTTTGCAATTGTAAAATCCGAAAGATTCCTCTATTCCTCAAACATGAGAGGGTTTGGAGAAACTTCAGCCAATTAAAAGTACAGTATTACTAATGAGAACCCTTATGAGGTGCCTACTTAAGTCAGGCAACACAGACCCTTCAATGGCTATTTCTTTACTTTATTTGACTTAGACTTGGAAATCACAAGAGTTTCCAAATACAAATTGATTCTAGTGGCCTGAGTTTTGTAATCAACAGGTTCAAAATAACCTAAGAATATTTAAAACTAGATAATTAGTATTGCTTGTTCCATTCTTGCTATCAAGTAATGATTCCATTAAACTTCTCACTTAAACAAAAGTCAGGCTGTGTTTGTAGGCACAAATACTAACAGGCAGGAAATGGAATTCTCTTGCTGAAAAAAAAAGAAGAAAAAAAAAAAAAAAAAAGACAGCCTGAATTGTAGTTCGGCTCTCCTTTCTCTAGGAAGCAAAGCCTTTAATGATAAAATATGCATGTTAGATAAGGAGTGGAAAAAGTCTTGCTGGAACCTAATTTTATTAGAAATTAAATATTACATGTGCTATAAGTCAAAATTTCAGGGATTCATAAAATTTAGGCAATTTATTTAACTCAAGTCCATACTGTAGAAGAGTGGTATCCCTGCCAAGAAAATACAATGGTTATAATTGTACTCTGATACATTTCAAATGGAAAGCTTTCTGCAGACATAATTTTGGCTTCAAGACTGGAACACTTTCTTGGCATTGAAAGGGCATTTGATTCATCGGGTGTTTCACAATGTATCACTAAAAAGACCTGGTGAGCAGCCAGTTCCCTATAGGGTAATTTTTCCATCCAGATGCAAGTGCTATCAGAGGCCCTCGTCAGCTAAACTAATTATGATCTTGCAATTGCTGATGCCTGCTCACTCTAACATTCGACATCCTCCATTAATCATCAATACAAGGAAAATGAATGAAACGTAAAGAAATGAGGGCTGGTAAGCTGCACAGCCATAAAAATCTGAAATGAGAGCAATAACTTAACAAGATTGGGGGAATGTTTTTAGTGAGCACAAAGTCAGGCTAACAATTGCCCTTTTAAACCAAGAACACGATTTCATTAGTGTAGCAGGTTGTGCTACTTTAGGTGATATAATAAAAACTAGATTTTCAAAGATAATCTCTGGCTCCCCTTTTTCTCCTTCCCCCCACCCAACTCTGGACCAGGAATGTATCATGAGTTTCTAAGTCTCAATAACAGCAATAATAAATGTTGGGTGTCAGTCTGCAAGTCCCAATGAGTGCCTACTGCAAAAGTGGACTGCTGCTTCCCCCCAAATCAATGAAATATTAGAAGTTGTGTTTATCAAACATTTTGGGGACGCCCTTTATGCAAAGTAAACTGGGAGCCTAGTTAGGTTATAACTGTGAAACTTTCCTGGGGCTATCCCGTCATTTTCCTAGATCTAAATAACATGTTTGCAAATAAACACCAACTTGATACACATAAGGGCAATGTAAATGTCCATTTGGAAACTAACCCACATATATGGCTGCGGCTCAAATGTGAATGTGTAACCATTCTCTCCAGCCTGCTTTTCTTTCCTTATGCCCTGGGTGCTTGACACACCATGCCAAAGTGGGTGTAATCCTGATTTCAGTGAGTGTTTCAACCCTTGCACAAGTTGGTGCTTAATTCTCTTGCAAAGAAAATGCCTTTCATTAGTTAGAGGGAAAATCCCGAAATTACAGCACTGGTTTCCAAAAGCACAGCTTGCTTTAAAAGCTGCACTTAAGACTCTAATATAATTTGCTATATTTTAGGTAAACCATATCACATTTTAAATATATCAGGAGTACTTTGAATACACTTATTCAGAGTCAGTAGAGCTTGGAGGTTAATAATCAGGTTTAGGTGTCAGAACACTCGTATTCAAAACCTGTCTCTGCCATTTGCCAGGCACAACACTGGGCAAGTCACTTAACCTTTCAATGCTTAAAGTTCTCCGATCTTTACAGTGTGAGCTACTGTGATTCTTTTTTTTTTTTTTTTTTTTTTGAGGCAGAGTCTCACTCTGTCACCCAGGCTAGAGAGCAATGGCACGATCTTGGCTCACTGCAAACTCCAACTCCTGGGTTCAAGCAATTCTCCTGCCTCAGCCTCCCGAGTAGCTGGGATTACAGGCATGCACCACCATGCCCAGCTAATTTTGTATTTTTTAGTAGAGATGGGGTTTCTCCATGTTGGTCAGGCTGGTCTCAAACTCCCAATCTCAGGTGATGTGCCCACCTCGGCCTCCCAAAGTGCTGGGATTAGAGGCGTGAGCCACCACGCCCGGCTACTGTGATCCTTGTGTGGATTAACAGATGCAATTAAAACAGTGCTAGGGATGTAGTAAGTGCTCAACTCCTATTTGTCAAGAGAATTCAATTATTATTTCTTTTGTATGAGAAAAATATTTTGTTAGTTTTCTTTTTAGCCCTTGAATCTTGTTATTTAATATTTGAGAGATGCTTAAAACATAAGGTTGAATATTGTTAAATGTGTTTCTTTCATATCAATCTTATCAAATATGAGAATGGAAAGTTGAGTCAGAGTGAAATATCTAGGTGTTCGCACCTAGAATTCAATGGGAGCAAGCTTGCATGGGGGTGGAGAGTGGGAGGTAGGTGAGAAATTCTTTCACACACGAAGTTACCTCCCATCTAAACAAATTTAGTACTTTGGTAAGCCTAGTAGAACCTTATTTTTGGTGCAATTAAAATTTCTGGAAGCAGCAGAGAAGGTGGGAGAAGTAGGGAGTGAGTGTCCTGAGCTGTGTCACTGCAGAACCACATCTTTCTAAAGCACCATACAGATGTGAGTCCTGACCTGGTCACACTGTGTACAGTGTAACCTGGCAGGACACAGTAAGGGATCTCCTTTGAAGTTATCAACATCCTTAGCCCAATCAAGGACAGGGAAGCAGCCTGTTACCAAAGGAAGGCAGAGTAGAAGCCTCCTGTGCTCTATTTTCAAAAACAAAGCTTGGCTTTAACTTAAAGAAAAAGAAAAGCACTAACGACCTTATTTCATTCATACTTTATCCTGCATGGCAGTTTTAAAATACTTTGTCACTCTCCTTTGCAGTAAGCCTATTAAGGACAGAAATCCCGTTTCCTAATCGTCATTGAGTATTGTAAGGAATAAGCACCTGGGACAGTGCTCTGTTAGGCTAAACATTAAGAAAGTTGAAAATAATCCTGCCTGCTATTATTTCTATCATTATTTTTAGAAAAAAATATTTTAGGAAAAAAAGTAGTGTTTTTTTTTTTTTTTTTTTAATCCCTTTTAAATGTCTTCCATTCAGGCTGACAAATTAATCTGGAGTTGGGCAGAGACGGCTGATGATGATGTAGAAAACACAATCAAGAAAATTCATTGTCCACTCCTACTTTCCACACTTTTTTTTTTTTTTTTTTTGAGTCGGAGTGTTACTCTGTTGCCCAGGCTGCAGGGCAGTGGCGTGATCTCGGCTCACTGCCCACCTCCGCCTCCCGGGTTCAAGTGATTCTCCTGCCTCAGCCTCCAAGTAGCTGGGATTACAGATACCCGCCACCACGCCTGGCAAATTTTTGTATTTTTAGTAGGGTCAGGTTTCACCATGTTGGCCAGGCTGGTCTCCAGCTCCTGACCTCAGGTGATCCACCCGCCTCTGCCTCTCAAAGTGCTGGGATTACAGGCGTGAGCCACCACACCCAGCCCCACATGTATTTTTGAGAAGGAGCTGATGCCAGGTACTCGCTAGGTGCTGGAGGTAGCTCTCTTTTATCTATATCATTATAGTCACAAATTGCTGATGGTTCTATCTGTGTCTGTTTATGTTTAAATAATAAATTTCTCCTTTTCCCACAAGCTGTCTTAAGAGATAATAATTTGTACCTCCATCACCTTGTGCGTGAGAGGGAAGAATTATGGGTCATATGGATAAGATCAGTGCTGGGAGGGAAAACAGGTAGGAATAAGTAGCTAGCCGATAACACCAATTGGCATTCCTGAGGGGCATATATAGCACAAATCGTACTCTCCTCGCAGACTGAGGGAAGACTGCCCACTCACACATGTAAAGTCACATAGAGTAGTGGCAGTCTCTGCCCCTAAACTGCTCTAAGTTCACCTTCCACATCTACGTGGCTTCAATGGAGGGCAAGAGTGAAGGAGGATTGGCTGAAAACCCAAATTTACATCAGTCAGCTCAACTCAAAATTTCTACAGAAAAAATTCTGGAATCAGCAATTCGAGAAAATGATTGTTTGCTTTTCTTTTAATGCTTTGACCAGTAAAATTTAGGTTGCATTTGTGTTGTCTCCAGGCCATTTCCGTTGGCTGGTAATTTCCTATGTGAAAAAGGATGAATAATGGTACGAACAGTTAACTGCAAAGAGTTTCGAAGCCAGTGATTGCCTGGCAAATGCTTTTCAGTGATAATTTGCATGTCTTTTGAGCCCTTGAT